TAGTGAAGTAAGATTGAAATTAGACTCTAAGGTACAAATCATGCATCTACAAGAATTCCATTGTTCTTTGGTTGATTAAAAAAACGAATTTAAGAGCAAATAAGAGAAAAGTTCTCTAATCATTTATTTTGAGTGATTTGAGTTTGTAATGAATTTTTAAGACCTTTTCAAAGCCAAAAGTGTTTTAAAGTGGCTCTATTTTTTAAAAATATAAATAGATTTATACTTAGGATTATTTTCTAATATATAGAATAAATCTAAATATAAAGATTTTAGATATGTAATCATAATTTTATTACATATTTATTATATATTTAAGCTCGATTAAATAATTAGTTTTAAGATTACTAAAGCTCATATAAATTATGAACTTGAAAATTCGAGTTTAAAAGATCAATTAAGGTTTTTAACATTTGAAAAAATTTATTAGTTGAATTGATAAACAATTTCGTGTACTAGTAGAAAGCTTATATTCTACCAACTGTGCAAAATTTACAAGCAATTGAATGGTGAAATCAAGAGATATTGGCACTAAAAGATTAACATCAAGATTTGAGAAGGAGGTCGGCTGACATCCAAGCAAGTTATGATGTTTATCTCTTATTTAATAAGTTTGAGCGTTTCCAAATTTATAATACTTATTTTCAACTAAAATATTGAAAGATATATAAAATTGGAATAAAAACTAATAATTTAAACATTAGTTATTGATGTTTTAATTTTCTATAAGATTTGGTTAAGGTTATTTAAATTTTGGTTAGGATTTATTTATGATTTTATTAGAATTTGTTTTATATTCTTTTGAGAAATTTTAAAAATTTAATTAAGATTTATTTAGGATTTAATTAAAATTTTATTTTAGGAATTTTAGGATTTTTTTAAAAAATTCAATGATTTCTTTGAAAAATATTTAAGATTTATTCACAATTGGTTAAGGTTTAATTGGAATTTATTTAAGATTCTATTAGAGTTGTTAGAACTTTTGTTTCTTGTAATTTTTAATTTATCTTCTACATCCAAGTGCCTAGTGCATTCTCAAGTAAAACAATATGTTATACATTAATATGATGAAGATCATGTAGAACATTGTCACATAATGTATTTTCTTACTTGAGAATATATTAGGTACTTGTTTGAAGAAGATAAACTACAAATCGTAACAAACAAAGATCCTAAAAATTCTAATGGAATCTCAAATAAACTTCAATTAAACCATAAAAATCTTTGTCAAATCTTAATCAAATCCAAAAAATTAAAAAAATTAAAAAATTAAAAAATTAAAATAAAGAAATTTTAGAATAATTATAAAAATATCATAAAGAATCTTAAAAAAACTATAAATAATCTTAAAGAAATACTAAATATATTCTTTAAAAAATAAATAAGCTTATAAAAAAATATTTAAAAATATAATTAATCTCTAATCAAATATTAATCAAATATTAATTAAATGCTACAAATTCTAAATAAATTCTAAGTAATTTTATGAAATCTTACAAAAATCTTAAAATCCAAACTAAATTCTAATTAACATTAATCAATCCTAATCAATCTCTATAGAAAACTTAAAACCTTAATAACTATTGATTAAATCCTTGATCTTACTAAAAACTTCATATACAATTCAATATATAAATTTCAAACTAAGTTTAATATTTTTAAACAAAAATTTGTTTTAATCCAATTGGAAAATTACACAAAAACACAGAAACTCTTTTCAATCCTAAAAATCAAGTATCCAAAAACTTAATCCAATCAAATTATAAGATTTTTTAATATAACTATTTGATTGATGAAATATTTATAATATATTTTATGCAAGCAGATTTAAAATCTTATAAAAAATTTACCAATCTATTTTTGATAATATTCACAAATTTTTCAAATAAGTATACTTTTTTTTATTTTTCAAAAACCAAAATCACTAAAAACATCTCTAACTTTGAGAAGCTTTCAACAACCCAAAATCAATTCAAATCTTTTGAAATTAGTTTTCTAACAAATCTTATAAGGTCTCTTCTCTAACCTTGCTCTCTAATCAACAAAAGAACCTTGAAAGTACCATAGGCATGTAGTTTTGTGCCTTAGAGTCTAATTTCGACCTTGGTTCACAACTAACCTTCTTTGGACATTAGTTTCTATTTTTTGAAGGTAATTTTTACTACAAAATATTCTTAATTTCCTTCTTAAAGATGCCGATAATATTCATTTTTTTAATCTATTTTTTCTTGTCTTATTTTCTAGTAATTTTTGAAGTTATTGAAAGTCTTTATTTTTGTGTATAGATCCATAATCTATTAAAGAAAAGAAAAGTATGAAGTTATAATATGGAGCATTAAGAAGTTTGTACACAAACAAAATTTTAGAATTAGATTACTTCTACTTTCAACACCTTTAATTTATAAAAGAAGAATTACATTTGATATAGATCAACTTCATCTATAATTATCTTCATTTTACTTGGCTATATTTAATTTAGTTTTATTCTCAAAACCTTAGCAATTACTTTAATAACTTAAACTAAGCTTTTGCTGACTTTTGACTATTAGCAATTTACTAAGATTTAAATCTACGTATTGATAAGTAAAATAAGATTTGTTGATCTTTAATAAATTACACATTGAAATACTTAAATTATAATAAGATGAAAATCTATTACAATAAGTACAAGTTGCAACAAGAAAGTTACAGTTTACATTATAATTAGAATTTTAAGAAAATTATTACATAAATATTCTCTTAAATTACTAATCTATTTACATGTATTATTTTTTGATAGAAGTATTATACTCATATTAGTTTTTTTATTAAATAAAATTTTGTGTGTTATAAGACCTATACTTACTTAATTGTGTATTTTTATGCTTATGTAATAATATTCCAAGAAAAAAATATATATATTTAGTTAAAATAAAGTAAATACTTTAAATAAATGAAATAAAATGCTCATAAGTGTATGATTTATATATAAAAAATATTATAAATCTTAAAAAATATATATTATAAAAATTTTAAAGACAAAAAAAAACTAAAAAAAAAAAAAAAAAAAAAAAAAACTAAAGAAATATATTTAATGAGCGGTAGATTGTAGTAGCAGTAGCAAAAACTATGATGATACATTGTATGTATGTGTTTACTTTCTACCTTTACTGACTTTTATATTCATACCAACTTGTCTTATTTTATTATATTTAATTATAGTTAGTTTATATGTTTCTCCACTTTTGACTTTTTCCTTTTGTTTCTTTTTTCTTTTTTCTTTCTAATCATGCTTATTCCTTGTCTTTCTCAATCCATGCTATGATTTTTTTTTATCAGAAATGATTTTAGACATTTAAAAAGAATGTCCAGAATGCAAAGTAACCACAAGTTTATATGTGTAACACACATGTGTGTATATATGAACGTGTACACGTGATGCTATATATTTTAGAAAAATACTTTTATTGTAGATGTATGACATAAAATATTTAACACTTTTTTGTCAATCATTACATTAAAAGTAGCAGTAAAATGTTATAAAATGATATTCTTACAAATATCAAAACAAATATCACTCTCACAATCACAGTTCAATTCTTTTATGAAATTTTCTTTGTTAAATAATTTTAATATATTAGTTTAAGTACTTAACAATTTAAAAAAATATTTTTTTTCTTTTTGATGTATTCAAATATGTCCATTGTAGTTAGATATCCAAAAAAAATACCAATTGTAAATATTGAAATAATTAAGTATTATATATATATATATATATATATATATATACATTTATATTCTTGCAATATAATATTGTAATATTTTTTACTATATATCAAACTAAATTATTAAAAGTCGCAGTAGAAATTGATGTTACTGGGAAGTTATTCGAACATGAGATTGTTGATGGGCCAACATGGATAAATTAGAGATGTTTAAAGTTGTTGACTCTCTGCCAATGAAAATGAAAAAAGAACTATATTCTAATTTGAATCAAGAGATATTACACTAATGAAAAAATAAACATGTTAATTACAAGTATCTGATGGATAATACTTATTAAATTATTCAAAATATATTAAAGTAATATCTTCATATTGTTATCTATCTCATGGCTGTAGATTGAAGTTTACATATTGATTCCAATGTATGATATTTTGAATGGACTTCACATTTTATTTTTCAAAAATCAAAGGTTGATCAAGATGTAAAATCTTTCTTACAGCACCCTATATCATGCGTCCTACCCTATTTCCACTATCATGTCATGCAGTGCCTTAGGTAGCAAAAATACCAGTTAATAGTGTGCATGATTGGTTACTTTAAGCATGTTGTATTATTACAATTATTGGCTTCAAAAATGTAAAATTAAGTCCCATGATTTATTTTTGCATTATTTCATTGTACTATTCTCAATAGTATAACACGTATATTTTTGTATATGATCATTCCATATAAAACAAATATCTAATTCATGTTTTTACAGTTACATTGTATGTATGTGTTGGTTTTTCATGTGAGGTCCTTTACAGATACTCTATCAAATGCCATGATCATTTGCTCATGATAGTATGCAAATAAATCATAATCATACAATTTTTAGTGCAATTGGGATCATTAGAAAAGGGCCATCAATTTCCTGAATCTATTCAACAAGAACTTGTAAACCCTAAACCCTACAACCTTGCTTGGATAAGTTGTAGGAATAACTTGTAATTTCACGGATGGTATGATACTTGACTCATACTTTTCTTTGGCTGGTATTGTATTTGAACAAATGCATCACATTACTGTATAATCCATCATGACTATATGTATATATATATACTCTACTTACGTATTTACTTAGTTTTATGCACATTCTGTTACTAACGAGAGGGTATCTGAGAGTACCATCTGTGTTCTTAGTAAAATAGGAAAATGATTGATAACATCAAATGTTTTAGATAATACACTACATTGTCATATTTGAACATTAGCAATCAATCAAAACATTACTTAAATCCCGTTCACACCGCATATTAACTTCTTAATCCATAAGCATAATACCAAGTATGAACTCACGTCATTTCATAAATCGTACTAACGCTAATCCACAACTAGAATTGCAAGCATGCACAGAATTGACCGGAGAGTCACGACTGCTGCTTGTCTAAGAACTTTCTGAAGCAAATTATCTTGTAGATATGAATAAGACTAAAGAATTATCCTCAATGTCCATTTCGCATGAAGAACAGTTGCAAAAATGAAAAAGAGAGGCCCCTAAAGGATGTAACAATGCAATCAATAATGAGATACGTGTATAAGACGCGCAGATTTCATTGACAACATTATACTCATCTAAGGCATGGAGAGAGACAAAGAGACGAGGCAAATCTGCAAGTACAAAACTCAAGTGGAATAGTGCCGTCGTAATGCAGGCAGCAAAAAAGCTAGTGAAACGAGAGGAGGCGGCACTTCGATGCTCCACACTTAAGCCTGTAACATATCAGAAATTATTGCGGTTACTAACACTGTAAAAGACAGGACATGCACGGAAATACGCGTTTATCATGGAATGCAAGCAGACATAGTCAAATCAAGCATACCTTGTTCGCAATGTTGCTGGAAAGCCAATCAAGTCCTTCGTACAGACCCTCACCAGAAGTGGCACAAGTGCTCTGGATGTACCTAAACGCGGCGGGAACATAAACCATAAGTTCGCTTCCGAAAATGAAACGGTAATGACAACACAAACAAGTGCTCTAGACACCAAACTAGTTACAGACGCAGGCGAGGGGTAGGAAACGCGAGACGCGAATTAAATTTAATAGAGAAGAAGATTATACCAGTGGCGTTGACGAAGAGAGTGCAAACCAAGCTTGTCGGTGATCTCAGCAGCATTCATTGCATTCGGTAGATCTTGCTTGTTGGCAAACACAAGGAGGACAGCATCCCGTAGCTCATCCTAGAACACAAGAGAAAATAAATTTATATTAAAGACAAAACCCAACCAACCTCTCATGAGGCGGGTGGAATGCATCCATGCCCTTTACATTCTAAAATCAACCTGCTCAAACAGAAGTTCAATGGGGTGAATACCTCGTTCAACATTCGATGCAGCTCATCCCTGGCCTCCACAACACGGTCTCTATCATTACTATCCACCACAAAGATAAGACCCTGAGTGTTCTGGAAGTAATGCCTCCACAATGGCCGGATCTGCGATATCCATTATTAAAGAAAACAGGATCAATGTATCTCTTCAAATTGGTTACAGATTTAAATACAATTCGTGGAACAAAACAGCTGGACAGGTGTGAATATATAATCCTACCAGGACATAAAATAAACAAGAGAAGACACAACCAAAGAATGGTATACCTTGTCTTGACCTCCGACATCCCACACTGTGAAACTAATGTTCTTGTACTCCACAGTCTCCACGTTGAAACCTTCACAAGAAGAGCGATACATAAAATCATTCTCAAGCAAAAATAAGAAGCGAAGAGCAAGATCGTAATCCTCACACACACACACACACACACACATGTATATATGTATGTATATATTTCGGATCTGCACCTTAATCAATTAATGAAGGACTTTCACGTAAGTATTGTAAACTTCGCACGAAATACTAAACACTAAAAACATCCGCCTAACAACTTCTCATATATTTAAATTACAGTGCACTTCTACACTTCCCGATTTACACACGCACAAAACCAAACCAAACAGCGCAGATCTATCACTGCAACATAAAAGCAAAAATAACCAAGCGGCATGTCGCATCCACATCAAGCCACAACTAGTTCCAACCCGAAATGATGTCCCACACACACCCCTAACGTCAAACCCTTGCTCGCAGACAAAGCCATGCGCGCAAATCCCTGACGGAAAACGCCACAAATAGAGCGCAGGACGTACCGATGGTGGGAATGGTGGTAACGATCTCCCCGAGCTTAAGCTTGTACAAAATGGTCGTCTTACCAGCTGCATCAAGACCTACCATAAGAATACGCATCTCCCGCTTGGAGAACAGCTTGGTGAAGAGCTTGGTGAATGTGAGGCCCATGGCGGCAAACTCTTCACCAAACTCGAAGAGATCGGAGTGAGATCGGCGAGCAGATGACCGCCGTAAGAGAGCACCACAACCTTGACGACGGCCGCTCTACCCTTGGCCCGAGTCACGAGAAGCGAACGGACCACAAGCGAGAACGAGCTTCGACCGAAATGCCCTTAGAGACAGAAGGTCGGGAGGCGTGGTCGAAAGGCGTCTAAGTCTCGACGCCTGCGAGCGAGCGAGCCACAGACAGAGAGCGCGACCAAGCTCGCCGTGGCACAACACGCGCACCAGGCCCATGACCGTGGCGGGTTTAGGGCCAAATCGACATGGCCATTAGGGCTAGCTTTTGTCTTCCCATTCCGTACCAACTCCCGTTATTAAATACTTTCTACTACCATCGTATCGTCTCAACATGTGTGTTGCAGTCTCTTTCTAATCTCGATTCAACCAGAATTGAAAAAAACTTGGTTTGATTTCATGACTTCATATTAATCTTTACTAAACAATTCTTTGTTAAGTATATAGAGTTGCCATGTAATATTTCTATGTGTATATTATGATTATTATTATTATTATTATTATTATTTTTTATTTATATAAGATATTTGTTTAATTTTTCAATATCTTATATGCATGTATTTCTTTAGTTATATATAGAGGCATTATAAATACTTAATTAATAAATTTATATCATAGTAAAAGTTTTACTACTAAAGATTTTATCATATTCTTCCATAATATATCTAAATACATATTTATGAAAATTAGTAAAATATTTATAATACAAAACTAATGTTTTAAATTACTGTTAGATTTTATAATAATAAATAATTTTATATGATAATTATATTAAAGACTTATAGATTATAGGAAATTTCTAAATACTTCTTAGGATTGCCATGTAACAAAGCAAATTTTTTAATAGATTCTTGCAGCATTTTATACAGCCTTCAAATGTGGTTTAAAATAAATTATCACAATTTTTTAAAAACATATCAAATATTCTGAGCATATAAAAACATTGTTTGTTTTTTGTGGATTTTACAATTGTTTATAGTTTTATTTTCATAATCAGTAAAAAAAAAATGAATAACTTTGTGTTAAAACACATCTCCGAATAAAACTTGCAAACGAAAATAGTATATAACTCAGAAAACATCAAGAAAGAAGATTAAATGAAAATACTATTTATAATAAAACAATAAAATAATTAGTTACTATTAATTACAACATAAAAAATTCTAAATAATATTGAAAAGGGAATTAATCTTCCTTCCACACATATTTAGAAGAATTAATATATATATATATATATATATATATATAACACATGTAAATGTTTTCAAGCACCACCAGATCTTTGAAACAAATATCTAAGTTCCCGGGTATTTCTATAATAGTTTAATAGCTTTTACAATGTTTTATTACATCAACATTACATACTTCTATTTTTATTCTTATTTTTGTTTCTATTTTTCAACAGGAATGTACGTCTATATCACTTTGTATATATATATATATATATATATATACACATAGACACACATACACATTCTCATAAAATATTTATTTGTTTTTTATGGTCTAAAAATATCAAAAAATTAATTTTCTTGGAATAGATTGGCGAAATTTCCAATAATAATTTTATAGACATTTTTATAAAAAAATAGACTTTTATTCTTTGATAAACCATGGAACAGAAAGATAAAAAAAAAAAAAAAGAATAATAATAAATAACATCTTGATAATTGATCTTACAATATTTGGATGAACATACAAAAAAATTAATCGGAATTTATGGCATATAAAATTTAGTCACGAAAAAACTCTGTTTGTAACTTTTTATTGATATAATTCTTATAATCTTGAAAGAAATAAATGAACAAAACTAATAAATTTTCGTTTTATTTTATTTAATAATAAAGCTAATTAGTATTTATTTAATATGACGAAAGAAAGACATATTTTTGATAATTTGGAGTTTAAGCTTATTTTTAGAGAGGCTTACAATGTATTATTTGTAAAAATATGTAACCTGTAATTGAATGAAATAAAAAATAATATACCCTTGTAACTCATATTAGATTATAATCAGGATATGGTTAAGTTAATATTCACAATTTGTAGAGTATTCATTGGACCGCTGATAAGTATTTTTGACAAGTTATATATTTAGAGCCTAACTATTATAGTGATGTTAACAGATTTTTTAATACACAAAAACATCCTTATTATAAAATAAGCTAAAAATTATATCTATTTGTGATATATGTGTATGCATGTTTTAACTTTAAATCAAAATTAGTCAAATTACACGTTCATTCAAAGCACAGTTTTTATGCATACAGAAGAATACATACATGACTAATTTTGTTAATTTGTATTTTACTTAGAAGCTTCAATATGAAAACTCTTTTCAACTATTTTATGTATTATCAGAGTTTCTCAGCTAGTTTTTGTATATACAGAAACATTATGTTGAAATCAGGATTTTATAAATTTATCATCCCAATTCTCTTTCTGAATTGATAACGACAACCAAATCATTGTACGTTGTGTTGGTTTTGAGGATATAAATCAAGTAACCAAAACTAGAATTGTGCATTATCATTGATTCTAGAATTGAAGAAACCACTTTAACTAGCTAAAATAAACACCGACATCAATTTTGTATAGTTGCATAATCCTCTCTAAATCGAAGATATATATATATATATATATATATTGATTTTTTTGGTTTGACTAAATGTATACAATTTATTCCAACACTAATCACATGATAAAACCACATAACTTATTTAACATAGCCAGGTTTATTTATTTATTTATTTTTGCAAGTTCACTTCAAACAATCAAAACACATCCACATGATTTTTTTAAAGACACTTCAACTTTATCTAAATTAGAACATTCTAGTTCTTTCACTGTACATCAACACACAACACAGTGACTAAAACTTCCAGACATTAACATAATTGTTGGGGCAACCAGATACCCGTATACGCGGGTATTGATTGAGCCCGTTGGGTTGAAACCGTGCGAACGACACCGGCAGTACATACATCCGGGTATAATTGGTGCGGGGAAGAAGCGAGGCCCAAGTCAGCCCTAAAGGACGCGGGGTGGGAGTGGCGATGGTGCGAGGGAATGCGAGAGAGAGAGGAAGGATGAGCTTGAGGTCTGTACATCAATAGGCTAGGGATGGCGCAAGTCTTCGAGGCATGAGTCGGCGGGCGAGCGACTCCAATGCAGTGAGTGATGTTCGTAGGAACCCGGCGGAGCGCTTAGACGGATTCATACCACGGCCGAACTGGCTGACTGATTGATTGTCTCTATCGGTTTCTCGTTTCGGGAGCAACAATCAGCAGCAATGGGCGGTCCAGTATTGCCTCCTAAGGAGGCTAATCTCTTCAAGCTCATCGTGGTATGTGGACCTTTCTTAGCTTGTGTTCGGTGTCGGAGAGATTGTTGGATTTTTTATTTTTATTTTTATTTTTTATTTTTTATTCTTGTATTTTGAAGAGGATTTTCATTCTTCTCTCCTCCTCGTCCTCCTTCTTCTATGTGTGTACAATTTGGAAAGAGATTTTGGCGGGTGTAGAGCAGTGTGTGGAGTTTCTATACTCGTGGTGTCTGGTTTTCGGTTCAGATTTTTTGAGTCTTATCGCAGCTGCGACACATTGTAAATTGCCAGTAGCTCAGTTGAAAAAGTTTTGCTTATTATAATTGGATCACTTTTTAGGCCTATCTAATAGCAAATGCTGGAGGAAAGGAATGAAAATTTGCCGTCGAGATTGCCATTTACATTTTTCATGGGCTTGACGTGGTGTGTTCTACGGTGGAATTGGCATTTTCAATCATGTTTGGTTAATTAGAAGTCTAGGATTGAGTCCATGGCCCGAGACCGTGATCCCAAGAATTTGACTTAAATTGGGTTATAATGTGAGAATTAGGATGCTGTCAAGATTTATTTATTTATTTATACTTTTTCGTTTGTACTTGGATGAGTTAGTTTTATGGCACTCAAATTGCTTCTTTGTGTTGTGTCCTCTGTCGAATTCCAAGACATGTGTAGTTCCAGGTTGACCAGAAGAGTCTTTTTGGGGATTCAAGTCACATTAAATTTCTGGATTCACTTTTGTTTTGCAAGAGAGTGCTCCCGAGAATTATAAGCCCTTAATCAAGAATGATCGTTCCTCAAGCCCTTAATTAAGGCATGAAATGAAAAAGTCAGGGCTTGAGGAACGATCAGACTGGTGTTCAGGAGAGATGGCTTTATCTCTTTCAAAGTGGCTCCTATGTATCATGAGGCTCTTTTGCATGTTGTATTACCAGTTTCATGATAACTCGATTAGAAATTTAAAGTCTGAAGAACAGCGTGGTCGTTGACGTTTAGCTTGTTGGGTTTATGAGTCCAGAAATCATATGAAACGAAACAGTACAAAAAGGGGCTGAAGGCGTCAGATCAAATTCTTCGGAAGTTTCCTGAGCATGGAGGTAATCTAATTTCTTTTGACAACATTTAAGTATCTTCAGTTGTTCAGTTCGATTTGGCATCCATGCGAATATCGCTTACTTCATTTTAAGAGCCTACTGGTTTCATACTTGGTTTTGTGACGCATCAATCAAATCTTCTCTGTTACCTGAGCGGTCATAATTAGTGCATGTGACGTGTGCAGAAACTCTTGCGATGAAGGGTTTGACTCTCAACTGCATGGACAGGAAACCTGAGGCTTACGAGCTGGTCCGTAAAGGTTTGAAGGTACGTATTGAATACTTTTGCAAGTTGAAGTTTTGAAATACACGCTATTTTGAAACTAGCACATTTAATCCTTAAATCATTCATTTCTTTTTAATTGACAAATTTCGTCGACGATCGATCTTCATGTTATCACTTCTGTGTGCGCAGAATGATTTGAAGAGCCATGTGTGTTGGCATGTCTATGGGCTTCTTTACCGTTCCGACAGGGATTATCGGGAGGCTATTAAGTGCTATCGATGTGCTCTTCGAATTGATCCAGAGAATATCCAAATTCTTAGGGATTTATCGCTGCTTCAGGTTTTGTGTCCTAGTCTGCATCATTGGTTTTTGATTTCTTCCTCACTAGATGTAGATGGAGGTACCAGTAAAATTTTCTCATTCTCCTTTACTATTAGGGACCTTGATGTGTAAGGAATGACATTTTGTACATTGCAGGCACAAATGCGAGAGCTACCTGGGTTTGTTGAGACTAGAAGACAGTTGCTAACATTGAAGCCTAGCCATCGCAACAATTGGATTGGCTTCGCCATTGCGCATCACGTTAATCAGCAGTAATGCTTCTTAAAACCACTACGAATTTGCATTTTGTGTGTGGAGGCATTTGAACTAGCAGCGTGGGGTACTTGGCGTTTGATTTTTATTAATGATTGAACTCTGGAATTGTACTAGGCCTGCGATGGCTGTAAATATATTAGACGCCTATGAAGGAACCTTGGAAGAAGACTTTCCCCCTGAAAGTGAGCGTTATGAACACGGCGAAATGCTACTATATAAGGTAACGACGGCACCACAAGTCCTCTGGTGAGCTGGTCTTTGATATATAACAGTGTCAATTTTGTGTTTCCCTTGTCTCTTTTTGTTTTCGAAATTAGAAGGAGAGACTATGCCTCACGAGATTGTGACAGTGTTAATCGTGTTTTCCTCTATCTGCGCATTGTTTTCTTTGTGAAATTAGGCCACTTTGTTGGAAGAAGCGGGGCATCCAGAGAAAGCATTAGAAGAGCTTGCAAAGAAGGAAGGAAAAATTGTAAGTCTATTAGTGTTCTAATCGACCCTGAATGATTTTTTAACAGGTTTGTTTTTGCTCTATGTTTATATAGCTGTATACGTTCAAAATTTTAATGTTTCAGATTATAGAACCTTCTTGAATTGTAGTTGTTTTGAGTATATTGAATTGAATAGACTAATCAGTGCTTCTGTGAATTTGGTGAACTTTTATTCAAATGTTTTTGATTCTACGAATTTATCATTAGAACTATTCATTTGGATCACGTGTGAAAAGTTCACACAACGGAAGCATCTCGTCGGTTCATGTCGCAGGTGGACAAATTGGGACTTCGAGAACATCGGGCATCGTTATATTTGCAGACAAATCGTTTATCTGAAGCTGAGGAGATTTATCGGAAACTTCTTGTCGTCAACCCTGACAATTATCAGTACGTTGCTTTGTGAATGCACTCAAGTTTACTGTTTCAACTTCATGTCTGGATGTTAATTACTTGAAGGGAGTATTATTTTACTTTAATTACTGAGTTACTTATTTTATACTTCTTCATGACCGTTATTTTTATTGAAATGTTACTTTTGAGTGCAGCTACTACGAAGGCTTGCAGAAATGTCTTGGATTGATATCAGATGGAAAAGCGTATACTTCCGAGCAGGTGGAGAAGCTAGTGAAACTTTATGATGATCTTCGCGAGAAGTATCCTCGCTCGGCTGCTGCCAAGGTCAGACATTGAAATCTCAGATATTTCATATTTAGGGCATTTCTGTCCAGACTTTTCGTCTTGACGATATGGAGATATGTAGCTAGCATCTAGAGTATGTACGGAAGGCTCTGCTTATTGGTGGCAGCTGATGGCCTCTGACAGTCTACACTATTGGTACCTGTGAATAATTATTTTACTAATTGTTTGGGCGTGTATATGGAGATTATGAACACATGTGAATGCTATTCTGTGATTGGGCTTGTGTACTGGCTCTAAAAAGAATTTGGGTCTTGTGTGCAGCGTATTCCCCTGGATTTCTTGGAAGAGGATGCTTTTAAAGCAGCAGTTAGTTTGTATGTTCGTCCATTTCTGAAAAAGGTTTGTTTCCTCCCTTGATTTGTTTTAAACTTCGTACTCGTTCGTGTGTACTCTTCGTGGTAAAATGATTGAATCACGCTTTTACTAGGTTCTTACTCGTTTTTGGGGTATTTTGGTAGTGGAGAAATGTTGCTTCTTATGTAGCGTTAATGTTTGTTCCAGGGTGTACCTTCACTCTTTACAGACCTTCGTCCGCTCTATAGCAATCCTCGGAAGGTATTGTTTTTACGGAACTATATCTCCAATGTTAATCTAATTTCGTCGGAATTCTCTGTAACCTAGCTGCTAATCAATTATTATCTTTTATTATATGGTAGTTGTGTTCGGTCCTCGTGGAATTAAAAACATGTAATTTGAATGCGGACAGCTTCACAATGTAGCATTGCTCCTACCTATTTCTTTGATGGTGCTATTTGTATATGTATCGTTCGCGCCTTAATATGTGTAAACGCGATCGTGATATTTCTTCCACTGATGATAAAGTTATCGTTTGCAGGTGGAGATTATGGAGGAAGTCTTTCTTGAAGTATCGCAATCTCTTCAGTCTACAAAGACATTTTCTGGCAGGTAATGACTGGCTTTATTTTCTAATACATCTTTAAGCGAACCAGTGGTTAGTGCAGTTCCTGGAGCATTTGCAGTTAAGCCTTGTCTATCGTCCTCCGGAAAATTGTATGAATCTCAATCTTCTTCATAGTTTTTTAGGCCACAAACGATGCTTGATTATGGTACCATAATCCACGTGGAGTCGAGAATTTATCTTACATCTGTGTAAAGTCCTTGCTGTCGATTTGGGTGCTTGTTCCCACTAGAGTTCCACTTGAGCGAGGAAGAGTTTAGCGGTAGGATTAAGCAATGCTAACAGTATTTATTGTGAAGGTAATTTACTGCCGTATTTCTGTGTTCAGTTCTGATATTGAGGCTCCATCAACATACCTGTGGACTCTTTATCTTCTAGCTCAGGTGTGTTGTCTGGTTCCAATGGTTTTAACCGTAACCGATGAATTTCATCTATGATTGGTATTGCCTTTTTTTTTGGAGCGAAATCTGTTTCATATTTTGTGTGTTGCGATATATTTCAGCACTTCGACAAAAGAAGACAATATGAAAAGGCCCATTCCTATATCAATCTTGCGATTGAGCACACGCCAACAGTTATTGACTTGTACCTTGTGAAGGTGCCGATCCTGGAGACCCTGATGTTTGGTTTTGATTTTTTCTTTTTGTTTTAACTAATCTCTCTCTCTCTCTCTCTCTCTCTCTCTCTCTCGTTTTTGACTATTTAATTTAGTGCTGGAAGCATTACTTTCTGCACTTGGACAGGGAAGGATATTGAAGCATGCTGGGGACCCTGTTGCTGCTGCAGCTTTGGCTGATGAGGCACGAAGTATGGATCTTGCTGACCGGTTTTTGAACAGTGAATGTGTGAAACGCATGCTGCAAGCTGACCAGGTGCGTATGATTGGCTCTGTTTATATTCTCTTTGTTTGTGTGTCCTTTTGTAAGTTGAACTATTTTGTGACATTTTGTACTAAACTAGTGTATCTGATTTTGCCATAGGTCGAACTTGCTGAGAAAACTGCTGTATTGTTCACAAAGGATGGTGATCAGCACAATAACTTGTTCGACATGCAATGCATGTGGTGAGCATTTTGTAAAATCTTTGAAAAATTGGGGAGAAGCGATTTGCGCTCTATAGATGTTTGTTGATCATGTGATTATAGGCAAGAGATATCTGATTTATTTGATGTTTTTCAGGTACGAGCTGGCATCTGGCGACAGTCATTTCCGTCAAGGGAACCTAGGCAAGGCTTTGAAGAAGTATTTGTCTGTCGAAAAACATTACAATGACATGGTTGAGGATCAGTTTGACTTTCATACTTATTGCCTACGCAAAATGACTTTACGAGCATACATCCGGATGCTGCGCTTTCAGGATCATCTTCATTCCCACCGTTTCTTTTTTAGGGCCGCCACTTCCGCCATCAGGTACTATTCTTTAGATTTGTTGCACTGTTGTGTATGAGAGAGTTTCTTTCACACTCATTGTCTGCTTTTCTTTACTTGGAGCATAGGACTGCCTCCTTTATAAGTCCCATTTTTTTTTTCTTGCTCTCTAGGTCTTATTTGTCTTCCAAATCCTACTCCTGCAGTGTATCCCCACGAATAATCTGAGCTACACAATGTATCAGTATATTTCTAACATCCCATATTCGTCTTTTTCTCAGGTGTTATATTAAACTCCATGATTCACCTCCAAAGGCAGCAGCAGAACAGCATGAAGCTGCTGTAGCAGGGTTGCCAGCTACAGAACGGAAGAAAATGCGTCAGAAACTTCGCAAAGCAGAAGCAAAAGCTAAAAAGGTATAATGATTAATGTTGTTTTATAGGTTTTCGTATTAGAGTCTCAAAACCAGACAATTGTCAACTTTGACTTGACTGTATTATGTACTAATTTCTTGAGCGATAGAAAGTTGCTAACTATTTCTGTTCATGATGGTTTTTAAGTTATTGTCGGATCATCTTAAGATGTTGCATCTCTGATAATTGACTGCGATCTAATCCCAAGGAAGATCGTGTTCAACGATCAACTTGCATTCGATTGGTTCAGGTATACTGTGGTAGGCTAGTACACTCATTTTGTTTTGTTATAGGTCATTAGTTTTTTGGGTGTTTATGTCATGACTTAAGTATTATCTCTTCCTTGTCATTGCAAGGAAGCGGAGGAAAAGGCAAAGGAGGAGGAAATTGCTGCTGCTGCTGCCGCAAGCAAGGGAGGGAAGAAAGGCACACAAACATCTCGACCTGTAGATACAGACCCAGATGGTGACAAACTGATGAATGTGTGTAAATTCTCTCCATATACATGCATTTGGGCAGCATTTGTTAATTTGAAGCTTGTTATGCGTTTCCGGATTATATTGTTTGTTTATATTGCAGCTTTTCCATATGTTTCTACAAATACGATAGTACGCTTCTTTTGTTTTGGACATCAAATATTTGTCATATATTCTTATGTACAGGTCGAAGATCCTCTAAGCGAAGCACTTAAATATTTGAGACTTTTGCAAGAGCACTCAGCAGATGCTCTTGAAACCCATCTACTTGCCTTCGAAGTGTACTTCCGCACAAACAAGAAACTGCTCGCTCTTCAGGTACTTCAGTTGTCTTACAGCTATTCACCTAAAAAATGGTGCTGATTAGTTATAAATAATCGTTCTAAATTGGGGATTTTGTCTTACTACATAATTGCGTTCGATATCGTTAAACTCTCGTTAACCCTTAGCAGAATATCTGTACCTAATGGCCGACTTTTATGTGCTGTGGGTCCTCAGGCCGTAAAGAAGCAGCTGGCATTAGACCCAAACAGCCCCGATGTACATCTTTGTCTGGTGAGTTGGTTTTCTTCAATTCTCTCGTTTATATGCATTAGAAATGTGGGGTTTAGTGTGCGTGTTTTACGGTTTAGGGGCATTGGGTATATTTTAATTTTCATGGAGGCCTTTTTGCCGTTTCGCCAGAGTTCTTGATGCCTGTCAAGCCACTGGTTTCTCATGAGTATCTTTATTGATAACGGTATATTGTTGTGATTTTTTATACCAGATACGCTTGTTTGAGTCATTGGACAAGCTACCAAGCCCAGATACACATGCTGAGAAGATTATTCATGACGTTATTGCATTGGAGAGAGGGTCACTGAAGTAAGCTTTCTTGTTGTTTCATGTGTGTGCGACTATGAGGAGTATTTTCTAATATTTACCGTAGTTATTAGTTACCATTGTGTTCACAGAATTTGGTTGGACAACCAATCGGTCTTACTGCAAACTTCTGGCTGTGTGTTTCGAAGATGATGCTAAATTGACTTGTAATCAATGTTCATTTTACAGGGAGCTGGGAGAAAAATCTCTTCTGGATGCTAACAGAGATTTCCTGGATGCTCATTCCGGTCAGTTTGACTGTGACTGTACTTCATTTGTTTTATGCTTTCTACATTATGTTCAGCTGAAGATGCTGGGTTCATCTGCTGTCAACGTTATATCAGATGGTTTTGTAGCATCTGAATACATTATTCGTGTTCAAACCTGAGGAACAGTGAAAGTTCTAATTCTGGTGCATATTACAGATTCCTTGAAGCATAGAGTTGCTGCAGCAGAAGCTCACCTTCTTCTGTGCCCGGATGCAAAGTCAGATGCAATCAAGATAATTGTAGAATTTGCTGAAAGGTATGCTTAATTATCTTCTAGTGCGGGAGAAAATTCCATGTCAATTTTTAGCTAAGTCAATTACTAGTGTACGATTATCAGGTATTACTCTCGTACGCAATCCTGATCGTGCTATCATAGGACTCTGGAAACCAGGGATTCATTAGCAGCAATGGACACCTCCAACGAATGGTTTCTTAAGGATTGCATAGCAGTACATCACTTCTTGGAGGCCTTTAAAGATGAAACAGCATCAAGTAAGCTAAGTAGAACAGTGTTACGATCTTCTGTGATGTGTATTCTATGAGCAGCACTGAGTGCTCTGAAAATGTCAAGTTCTTGACTTGTCTGTAATTTCTATCTACTTCTGATAGAGTTCACCTTCCCGAGCTATGTACTTAAGGAGTTTGTAACTTAATAAGCATGCAGTTAGGTTCTTACTTTTGTACATTTCAAATTGCAGAGTGGTCGGCACGTTGTGAAGAGTTGTTCCCTTACTCAACATATTTTAAAGGTGCTAAAAGCTCTGCAACATTAGGAGTGGCAGTTACAAACGATTCAAAGCACTCGGAGAACGGGGAGGTCGAATCTGATAGCGTAAGGAAGGAAACACTCACTGACTCAGTGAATGGTGGAGTCAGAGATTTAGTTTTGAGTTGAATGGAAGGTCTTTTAGGTTGTATTTGATCTCACTTATCGAGGTCGTCCTTCTGATGAACTTGGTACATTAGGGATGAATCAATTAGATTCTTTTGAAAGGAGTTCACACGAGTCACTGTGATTTTGTTGAGAGAGGAGTACAAGTGGATAATTTGTTGAGAAGCTACTATAAATGTGCATCATGACTTCTGTTCAAGTTGAACTTTTGATCTCGAGGATTTCTTGAACGCAGAGGCAGAGAGGTGCAAAGTATGCTGAATGTAGAAGTATTTTTGTCGATGAGTTCTTGGAATTCGATAACTCGTTGTGGTGCGTTATGTAATAATGAAACATATGGTCATTGGGCGATTCCTACGTATTGGTCGATGGTTTGCTTCATTACGATGCGCAAAGTATTGTAAGCAGTGCGACAAAATGTTCCTTTTGTTATTAACAGAATAGGCAGCCACGTGAATTTGATCAATGGGTTTAGTCGGGATATCAGTGAGACGTAGAAACCTCTTGGCACTGGAGAACTCACATTTTATTATAGAAATTCGCACGTCAACATGAGTACGTGTTTATTCGATTCCTGTAGAATCCTAAATCGTCCTCACATATTAACTACGTTATTAACGTGTCACTCATGTGACCAGGTTTCCATGTCTAAATCCCTGAACCCTAAATCATGGAAACGCAGAGTAATGTAGTGTCCCTCATGTGACCATTCTGCGTTTCTATGCTGAAGTGATTTTTCTCTGTTGTATGTTGTAAATTGCATAGTATGTTTCACAATGTTGAGAAGGAGCTAGGCATTTAACCCAACCAGATTTCTTAGAATAGGGTAAAGTTCCAATCCAGCCAAGCAAAACTCAGCCTCATCATCAAGGACCTTGTTGAAGTCTACGATTGGCACATGACGACGGAAAAGAGCGAAGTTGTCGTCCCAATTGTGCGTTGTTTATGTTCTCTTCGAAATGTTGTACTACTTCTAGCATCACTATACAATAAGCATTTGCAATTAGTTGAAAACCTTTAAAGTTTTATAGTTCTAGTAAATATAGCTTTTGATTATTTGATCATTAATACATGAACGATTTTTTTTAGGCATTGTTCACATGGAAATTTGCAATAATTGTTGGATAGTGATAAATACTTTGCTTTCATTGCATGATGTTGATTTGGATAAATGTATGTAGCAATTGTCTTTATGCAATAAGCATCAATTTAATTTTTATTATAAGTAAATTTAGAATTGATACAAAGTAATTAAGACTTGTATTAGTTTTAATTATTTGTAATAATTAATAAAGAATCATAATTAATGTCTTTCCAAATGTATAGAAATCAAATGAAATCCTAAATCTAATCCTTTTACATACATTTTGCATTTATCTCATAGATATGTAATTAGGATTAGTTAATGAACTAATCCTTATGAATAGTACTAAGTAAGAACTATATGTAGTAAAATGGTTTAATATATTCTCTCTCTAATTAATATATACTCTTGAAAATCACATGATATTAGAGCACATAGTGCAGGCCTTACACCAACTATAGGTTGGATCAGTCTCCTAATTACAAAGTTACATGTTATCTAATTCTGAACATAGTACAACTCAAGAAACATGGAAGGGAGTCAATGGTGCTAGTATCAAAGGCATCACCTCCATAGATCCTATAGGGATTCATTCCACCTTAGTAAATTGACAAGCAATCAATACAATTGTACATAGCGGTAAACAATAGATGTGTCTAATCTTAAGTCAAGTTGACTAGAAGGCCTAAAAAATAACCAAGTTTGGTTCCTTTGTATGAAACATATATTAAAACAACATAGGATGTGGGCTTATTGCAATGCTCCAACTACAAAAAAAGATGTTAGAGAAGCTGAAGTTGATTGTAGAAAACTAGTCCTATCAGCAATAAAGGAATTAGTAAAAGATACATTGATTATTATTCTAGGCAGACTCCACAACCTATATAAGTGTTATAAATATAAAGATATAAGAAGTGGAGCACTTTACATGAAGAAATTGGATGGACAACATCAAACTTCAAATCTAATGGCAAGACCACATACACCAAGAGTCAATTACCAATAACAATCAAGGGATTGTACAACCATAAGTAGAAATAACTTTAAGAGGTACAAATTTCAAATCAAAGTTTTGAAACAAGAAAATCAATCAAAACACTCTCATTTGGACAATATTTGTAGTTACAAGAAAGAACACAAACTTGATAAAAAAAAAAAAGGTGTGAATTCAAAAAAACTATAGAACAAATAAAGAATCTTGACAACAAACTCAATCAACTCAATAAATGTAGGGGAAGCAAAATGCAAGCAAACCTTGTAGACTAGAAGCATGCCAATGCAATACTTCTCTTAAGTAGTTTGAAGACTAATATAAAAGATATCATTAAGATTTGTCTCATTGAATCTATTGAAGTCAATTTATTGAAGCATACCACTATTCTTATTCACAACACAAATTGAGAATAATGTTACAACTTTATAGTCCAAGACTATTATATTAAATATAAGGTTTTTGGGTGCAATTAGACATGGTCAAATACTATCTTTTATTAAAATGAACTCCACCACCTCATATGTATATGGTAGCTCTTGATAATATGTGACAGCTGACATCTCTTCTTCACTCAAATAGATGCCTTAGCTTCATACTTCATTAGATTTGAGCATGTAATGGCTCTTTGAAGAGCTACTCAGTTCTTATGTATATATACAAAATCTCACATCCTAAATTTTTTTATAATATACTTTATGAGAAAACAAAGCCATAGATCATATTAATACAAAATAACTAACTTCTCTTTATTAAAAAAAAAGGCACCACAACTTCATACTAATTCGTCTTCAAGCAAGTCAAAGCTTTTTAAAAAGCTTATAAAGAGAGAAATGACTCTTTAAAGTCTCAAATCCAAATTTCAAATATTCTTTGAAAAAACCTCCAAAACAAAATCGTGAAGAATAGTTGGCTCTTTTTTTATCCAAAAAAGTAACAGTGCTTTATAATAACTTCTCTTAGGATAAGTGTGAGATTTTTGGAAAGCTTACAAAGAAAGAAATAAAATTTTAAAATCTCAAATCCAAATTCAAATTACACTCTGAGAAAACTTCCAAAGAAAAACCCTAAAGAGAGGTTGGTTCTTTTTTTATCCAAAAAGATACTACTACTTCATAGTAATTCCTTTCAAAGTGAGTGAGAGATTTTTGAAAAGTTTATAAAAAGATAAAAAATTCTTCAAAATCTCAAATCTAAATTTATATAATATTTTATACTATTTTTATATACTACACCACTTTTCAACGTGATAACGTGCTATATATTCTTAGCATATAATAAAATTTTCTTTCAATTGGATGCATCTCTACTAAAGGCTACTTACTATAGTTCATAAAGAATATATGCATCATTAGCAATATTTCTACAAAACATGTGCTTGTCATAGCTACTAGAATCACAATAGAGGACTATATTAGCTTTTTATTTATTATACCAATCGCCATAAGATTCAAAATCCAAAAAAAAATCAAGAATTAGATTGTATATTTCTTTAGCATTGTAGACTAGGCCATCTGAGCTTTGATTCATCATATGAACTTTTACATCAAAATTTGGTCATATAATTGGTACAATTATCACAAGTTAAAATATGTGTATAACATATGCTACAATAATAAATAAGCTTGGAAGAAATTTCTTTGCATCAATATTTCTACCTTGTATATACTATTATTTGTGGCCTATTTTATACACAAGCTTATAATGATGTTCAATACTTTGTCACCTTTATTGACAACTATAATTGACATATCATTGTCTCTTTTATCAAAATCAATGATCAATTACTTTTCAAATTCTAGAAATTCAAAATACAGTCTGAGATAATTATCAAGATGAAATTGTACACCTTTTGTATTAACAATGACAAAATATGCGTCTTCAAAGTGATTACAACCTTTTATAAAATACACAATATTACATATCAAATAATTTAATTATATATACTTTAGAACAACAACATTGTGGAACAAAATATTGCTCTCTCTTTATAAAATTGTATGCTGTCTACTTTATTAAAGTAGTCTTTTTGAACATTTATGATCTAAAGTCATTTGCACCATTGCATACTTACACATTTGATGACCAACCAAATCTTTCATTGTAAAGACATTAAAAGAAGCTTGTACTAATAAAAAATCAGACCTCTCATATCTATGCATATTTGATATTAAAGTATATATTCACCTAAAAAAATATTATCATACCAATTAGTAGACAAGCCACCAAGGCCTTTAATTCAATAGAATCACCACAAATTAAGACAAAGTTCCAATCCTTGTAGGAGAATCACAAAGCAAGTCCATGGTTAATAGTTTGGAAAACAAATAGTTGATACAACCTCACCACTAATCAAAGCACTATATAGAAGTGAATATACCATGGTTATGAAACTACTTTATGAATTCCAATTAAGGCTTTGTCATAGATTTTTGCAAAAAAGAACCATTACTCTAATACAAAAACATAACCATTGTCCTATTAATTACTAATCAAAGTGGACCTACAATAGCTTGGAACAATCCATAATATAAAAAAATTACAAATAATTTAGAAAATTAAAGAGGATCAAAACTTGACAAAAATGAATTAGTTGTGATAATAATTAGAGCTCAAGTGTTTGATAACTTCTAAAATAAAAAAAATTAACAATACTAAAAGAAAGGAATATAACAATAAGAACACTATCAATGATGAATAATAAAGAAAAAAAATCTAATTTAAGAGAGATAGATTAGTGTTAAAACAAAAAAAATCTATTAATATCACTACAATCTTTTGCACTTTAAGAAAAAAAAAATCTATACAAGCTAGCTACTTCAAGTGTTGGAACTATAAGTATTATTATTAAAGTGAAGTAAAAGCCATAAAGATCTTATCAACACTTCATTGCCATTGATAATGGATAATTCTTATGATAAAAATAGTAATAAGAAAAAATAGATTTTTTTGGTCACTAAGACTACCAATACCAAAATAATGATGCTAAGCCATCCTTCTACATCACATGTAATGGCATGACTTTAACTAAGCCAAATAGAACCACCAAAATTGCAATGTAAATAGAATCTCGATAATCTAGGAATTTTTTTGTAGAACAAAGATAAAAAGATAAAAATGATGTTGAATGAGCCATACTACCTTTAAAAAATAACCTTGATGAAAGATTCAATGCTACTACTAGTTGAGGATCCTCTTTATAACTATTGTCACAACTCTGTAGAATCATAAGCTCTTAATATATTGTGTAGTACATTCTAAAGCCAATTGCCATAG